ATGTAAAAGTAAAGCACTGTTAATTTTTTTATAGGCCTATATTGTATTTTCTCTACAGTTTATTTGCATCTTTGTTTTTATTTTTAATAGGCTAACAAAGGTAAAATAACAAAAAGAGCTTTATTGTGATTATTACTATGGTAATTATTATTAATTAAATAATTGGAGGAGAAGATGCATTGTGATGCATCAGAATCAATCGAATCAAATCGTGAAGCAACTGATGATTCACACTTGCGATTTGGCCAAAAGGGCTCAACAGTGGTTCAAATTTTGATTTGCCCTGCCACAAAAAAAAATTGTTTTATTATTGTTTTTTCAATGCCAAATTTATAGATAGGCCTACCTGTTAAATTTTACAATTCTCGATTCCAATTGAAGACAAGTCAGTAAATACGAACAAATGAACCAATTATAAACAATAGCACAAATCGCTAGCATAAATATATGAATAAATAGAACAAAGATCAAATTTAAACAATGCTTTAGGTTTTTGAGTTTGTAGGTATTCAGGTACAGAAATTGAATAATCAAATGTAAAATAACATTGCATACTTTTTACTTTTGTATGCATTTTCCCGGAAAGAAATGCAATTCAGGCTTGCGCGCTTGAGACGTGGCTGTGCGCTCAGAACACACTGAATGGAGCTCTCTCCCACATCTGCATGAATGCTTTAAACCCTCTTGAATGTTTAAATTTCGTGACAAATCCGTCATCCATCCCAAGCGTCTTTCACGCTGGCCCCGGGCAGTCCTTATTGTCGAGCCGGTGGCCTTAGTTTTAATAAAAAATGCAAAAATAAAATTTGAATGTAGGCTGTAGGCTGTAGTTCTCGCACCTTACCTCTTCACCTCTCAAGCTCTGTCAGGTTGGTTGGGGGCAGATGCACATTTTCAGGTTTCTCCAGAAATATTTGATTGAGGCCACTCAGGGACATTCACAGAGTTGTCTATAAGCCACTCTTGCTGAGTGCTTCGGTCCATTGTCCTATTGGAAGGTAAACCTTCTGCCAGGTCTGAGGTTCTGAATGCTCTGGACTGGGTTTTCATTAAGGCCATCTCAATATTTTGGTGCATTGAGCTTTTCTTCTACTCTGATGAGTCCCTCAGTCCCTGCCACTGAAAAACAGACCCACAGCATGAGGCTGCTACCAGCACACTTTACTTTTGGGGTGGTACTATTCAGGTGATGAGCAGAGCTGGTTTCCTTCAAACATGATGCTTGGAAGGAAACCACATCAGACCAGAGAATCTTGTTTCTCACAGTCTGAGGTCCTTTAGGTGCTTTTTTTTGCAAATTCTAAGTGTGTTTTCATGTGTCTTCACTGAAGAGAGGATTGAGTCTTGCCACACCGCCATAAAGCCTACCCTTAACTAAATATTTAGCTGAAGCACCTTTACAGCCTCAAGTCTTTTTTGTTTGATGCGACAAGCTTTGCTTATCAGCATTTGGCAATTATCTGCCATTCTTCACCTTACCTCTTCACCTCTCAAGCTCTGTCAGGTTGGTTGGGGGCAGATGCACATTTTCAGGTTTCTCCAGAAATATTTGACTGGGTTCAAGCTCAGGCTGTGGCTGGA